ACGCATAAAACAAATCTGGAAAAGGTGGTAGGCATTGAGGAGAACATTGAAATGCAGCAGCTTGTTGGCAACTTCAAGATTTCCATTAAAACTGAGTGAACAAATGATGGGTGTTCCAGGCTGGATGGTTAGTGGTGTGTGTGCACATGCATGTGATTGGACGTGGGGCCTCCCTGGATCAGGTCTATTAAGTTTACACTGCCTGGTTCAATATCAAGCTGAAGTACTAATATTCAAGGTAATATTACTCATAGAAATCTGCACTCATAGAAATTGACAAATGGTACGTATGCTTCTATATAATATAGTTAGTTATCATAAAACCATTATTATGACAAAACCTATCCTAGTAGAGACAGAAAACTTAGATGTGGCATACTCTGTCAACTGGCAGTAGTTACTGCTGTTTGGTTTATCAACTCTTCTGTTGCATTGATTTACGCAAGATTGATGGGAAACACTAGTAAGTTGTTGGCCCTCTTTTAACATAATGACTTTGAGAATTTTGAAACAGCAAAGTACCATGTAGAAGACAAATGAATTAATCCATGCCAATCATATACGTATTGTTTTGAAGTTGAGGGCTCCTTAATTGAAAGGGGAGTATGACTTAATGAAAAATCTTTTCTACAGATTTATTGAATATGGGGAATATAAGAACAATTACTATGGTACCAGCATAGACTCGGTTCGATCTGTTCTGGCTAAAAATAAAGTCTGTCTCTTGGATGTTCAGCCTCATGTAAGTATGCAGTAAGGTTTTTGCCTTTTCTGTTGGCAACATTATTTTGCATTGATTTGATTTGCATTGCATGCTAAAATTTTGGGGGGGAATACTATGTTTCATTTACTTGGTTTTCAGTTTGGTTCCAGATACCTTTTTGAACTTATTGACTAGGAAGAATCATTAATCAATAAGTCACTCAGCAGTAATCTAGACTAAATAAATGATCAATGGATCACAGTTTTTTCTGTGTTTGAAAATCTAAATGTGTGGTAAAGTGTCATCTAACAATGTCATTTAGGATATTTTTATTTCACGGGTAGCAACTGCACAGAAATCGTTATGGATACAAGGCAGTTGATTCATACTAAAGCTATAAACATTACAGGAAATTGTCCATCAAAGCAATGTATGTCTGAGACCCAGACTCCTGCAGCATTACAACAAAGGGAAGACCATGCATCCATGTGTCAGAGGTTGCCTCTTGCATGTGCCAAAGTGGAAAGTTGGGGTAACCGCTTGTGTATTACTTCAAATAAAGGAGTATATGGAGAAAGGAGGTGGATGGCCTCCTGTCAGAGCTGAAGGAAAGTGTCTCTGTGTCCCACCAGCTACCACCGGGATTGAACAGTTTGTAGAGAGAGTGTACAGACTTGAGTACTAAAAGATTAACTGTTTCACATGCTAACTGTGCAAACAAGATTTATTTTTGCTTAATTTGACTCTAGTACTCTTAGCTGCCTGTTCAGAACTGGACTTTCATTGATTTTCATTCCTGTGTTAATATAATTAAAATACATACACAAAATGACTGCTATACAAGGAAATATTGTGGGCGATGTTTGTGAATGAAGGACTGTAAGTTTCCCACAATTCAAGTGCTGTATAAATTATACATAATAGCAGTAGCTTTGGAAGATGAGGGAGAGGGAGAACTAGAAACTACAGTGCCAAATGATTTGTCATTTTCAAAAGTAAATACATTTTTAAAACAAGCTGCTTATAACTTGGCATTTTCTTTTTCAGACTGTGAAGCATTTAAGGACATCAGAATTTAAACCATATGTCATATTTATAAAGCCTCCATCAATTGCGCGTTTGCGAGAGACCAGAAAAAATGCCAAGATAATCTCAAGCAAAGATGAAAAGGGCGCTGCCAAACCCTTCTCAGTAAGTACCTTTTGCCTTTCTACAAGTGTAAAAAGTTGCCAGATGGTTCGTAGTTATTTTTTAAATTAGTTTATTTGTATCTAGCAGTGAAGCTGATTAAAAGCTTTTGGAGTAAACTTGTTCAAAATGCACATTATGATATTCTTCAATATAATTTTAAAAATGCAGCAGCTAAATTAGTATGGATGGCCATGTGAGGCCGTACCTTTGCTTCTTCCTACCCCAGCTGCTCCTTGCTTTGGCCTGATACTTTGTCAGCAGCAGAACTGAGCTGAAATGATCAAGGTGGGAGGGGAGAGGAGGCTAGCTTCCTCTGCAAGGCTGGCTGCAGAAAAACCCAGGAGCGGGGACAGAGGCAAGACAAAACTGATTTAGCAGGAGGAAGGGGGAGCAGGACCAGCCTGAGCCTCTCCTGCTCACTTTATGTGGCAGAAGCATTGAAGCTGACATGGAACCTGCCTGAGGGGAACAATGATTTCTGCCCCCTTTTCTCTTCAGCATTCCTTTCAGCGGCTGATGCTGCCACTATTGTCAGTGGAGGTGTTACCCTTGTTGTTTGGATCACAAGATACTTGGCGTTTCTTGTGTGGATTCATCTTTTCCTGCATTCAGCTTCTCCCCACAGAGACAAATGCTGAATATACTAACACTAGGAAGTGCCGCAGATAACAAGGAAATACAACTCTGGTGCTATCGACTTAGTGATGCACCAGCTTCCATGGCTTGGATCTTACCACGTTGCAGGAAAAAGGGGGACTGTTAACGCAGAGCATTGGGGTATGTCCTAGAAAGATAAGCAACCACTTCATGAACTCCCAGCATTCTGTAGAATTTATGGGGTAACCCTGCGGGTGAGAATTATGCATCTGCTTCTGACAGTTTTTCCTGTAAGATATGATTTCCAAAGCTCCATAAATTTGGAATATTTTATTCAAGTCAACAAGAGTTCTCCAAACCATCAAATGCAAAACAGTTTGGGAAAGTGTAATGCTGTCCTCAGTGGTTGCTCTTCTTAAGATGTTCTGTTTTAATTTTATAGAGTTACATTCTGTGTTCCAGACACGTGAACATAAACCTAATGAATGAGCTCTAATAAGACGCAGGAATCCAACAGGAATGATTCCTTGGATTTGTACCAAACTTTCAAAAATACAGACTGTGTTCAAGTAAATCCCTTGCTAATAGCAGGCTGAGTCTTAGGCAATACAGTTGGTAGTGCATCATTAATGCAAACAGCTTATAAATAGTTTTCCAGTGCTGTTTCTAGCACAAATACATTTCTTTATCAGTTACTGAATAATGATCCTGATCCAGGGAAGAAGGAGACTGAGCAGCTGTCAGGATAGTTTCAACACAGTTGTTGCAATGATCTGTCATTATAGTTTGCATAAACTGTATAATACTGCTAGTGGACTTTTAGCCTTGAGTTCAGAGATCTTGTGCGAGCAGAAAGCTATTGCATGTGCCTGGGAGAGGGGAGTTGCTGATTCTCCTCCTTCATCCAGCAGCCCTTTGAGGCCCAGAAATGGGACTCCAGACGGTTATAAAACCAAGAATATTGTTTGTGTTGGGGGGCGGGGGTGCTGCAGATGCAAAGAAAATGGTGACTGAGGGGGAAAATCTAATCCAGTCTACTTGGAAGTAAGTCTCATATTATTCAGTTGGACTTACCGCAGTTCCAGTTTCCAGTTCCAGAGAGCCAGTTTGGTGTAGTGGTTAAGTGCGCGGACTCTAATCGGGGAGAACCGGGTTTGATTCCCCCCTCCTCCACTTGCACCTGGCTGGATGACCTTGGGCAAGCCGTAGTTCTGATAAGAGCTGTTGTTGAAAAAGAGCAGTTTCTGTCAAGAGCTCTCTCAGCCCCACCTACCTCACAGGGTGTCTGTTGTGGGGAGGGGAAGGGAAAGGAGTTTGTAAGCCGCTCTGAGACACCTTTGGGTAGTGAAGGGCGGGGTATAAATCCAATCTCTTCTTCTTCTTCTTCCAGGAAAGTGTCCCTAAGACTGCAGCCTGAGTATAGCAGTTATAAACATTTTTGCATTTATCTTGACTGGGTGTTTCTTTTTTGTGTTATAGGAAGAAGACTTTCAAGAAATGATTAAATCAGCACAAATAATGGAAATCCAATACGGTCATCTTTTTGACAAAGTTCTAATAAATGACGATCTAACTACAGCGTACAATGAGCTGAAAACCTCCTTTGACAAATTGGAAAGAGACACCTTCTGGGTTCCAGTCAGTTGGGTGCATTCTTAACACTGTAAACAAAACTTTTCATGGAACTTTATAAAGGTGTTTAGGTGGACCTAAAATGCCATTCTGTTGGTGGGAAACTTTTCTTGCTTTGGCACATTGGTGATTATACAAACTTTGTGCAGTGGAATGTTGCTCTTTTCTGTGTGCAAGCCTTCCTGTTTGGAAATAGGATATAGAAGGCAGAAGGCAACAATGAAGCCTTATTTTACTTGATTCAAATAACCACTCTTTTTTAAAAAAAGAGCCCCAATTATTGTGATACCACATTTTATAAATAGTTTGTGCCTCCAGTGTGGGACTTCCATGAAGCCACAACTATCAGAAGGTGTGAGATCCATCTTTAAGTGGCCTCGAACTTTGCTGGGTGCCAAGCAGGGATGAGTGCTAATGCTCAAAGAATGTAAAACTGGAGGAGACAAAAGGGGCTAACAATTTCCTTCTCTAGTATAAGTACTGAAATCGGGTTATGATAAACATGGATTTCTTTGTGTGTGTAAACCATTTTCCATGTTCAGCCTGACTCTGGTGTAGGGTTGCCAGGTCCCTCCTGGCAACTAGTGGGGAATTGGTGGGATTTACCAGGAGTGGGAAGGAGGCCCAGCTGATGTTGCAGCGATGTGTCTACATTGCTTCCAACGTGACCTGGAAGTGACGTCATCAGGCAGTGATGTTGGGGCGACAGTGTGGTATTTAGGCAAAGCTCTGTAGTAAATTTGGTTTCTCCCATAGAATTTTTGCCCAAATACCAGAGTATCACTCTGATGTCCCCAGCGTGATGAGGTCACTTCTGGGTCACATTGGAAGTGACGTAGACATGTTGCTGCAATGTCAGCTGGGCCTTGCTCTTCTTCCAGGTAAGTCTCCTGCACCAGCCAGCTGATGGGTGGCGGGGCCTGGCAGTGGGGGACCCCCACCTCCCCAGAAAGGTCTGGCAACCCTAGTCTGTTGTCTTTATCATGAGAGCAAATTTAACATACTTGGTAACTATGTTTTGATGTGTTTTAAGCTACAGTCTCCTGTAGCTGTGCTCTGAAAGGTGTATATGCTGGAATGCGTTGCATGCTTGGAGGTAACTTGAATATTTTAAGTGAACATTAAGTGAACAATAAGCAATAAATATGTTTTGCATATAAAATTTTAAAGGTAAACTTCTGTGGTATTCAAAGCAATGGAAAGCTTTAAAACTAAACATCAGATCTCGGGTTGGTTAGAGTAGCTTTTATGTACCTCAAGAATTGGGGTGGAGACTTTGCAATAGAGGCAGCAGCTTAAGTGGAATTTGTTTATATCAGTGCTTCATGTTTTAAAAATTTATAAAATAGTCTTTGTGTGACTCCAGAAGCTATTTTTTTTTAATTTGAAAACTTGTTAATTAAAGCTTGGGTATCATTCCCATTTTCTATTGACCTTGAACAGTAGAAATGCAAGCTGTTTTCTCTGGAATGAAGAAAGGAGTCTCCCCCCCCTTTTTTTCCTTGTATTCGTGTTGAGACAAAGTATATTAATAGATGTGGATGCATGTTGTATGTAAGTGAATCTGTCTTACCAATAGCGTGTGACGGTGACACATCACAACTTTGGCATGCAAACAGGAAGCCCAGTTATTTTACGTTAACATGTACAAGGTTTAGCTGACTTATTTAAAGGCAAAAGAATTTGGTGAGACTCTATATATTTATGAAAAGAGGTGAGAAGGGATATTAATTTTTTTTGAATTTGTTGTCAATGTGATCATTTATTACACAGACCACTAGGTGTCTGTGATTTGAAACATTGGCTTTATAAACTTAACATTCCATATAAATATTTTACTTCAGATGCAGGTAAACTGCCAGGTCTTTGCAAATGTAGTCTAAATAGATGGTTGGATTTTTTTTGTTTTTGGTTCATTGCATTTCTGTTTTTAAATTGTGTAATACAAGGGAAGTGCCAACAACCAAATGTAGCCTTTTGGAAACATTTATGCTAGTTTGACGCATCCTGGCACTGAGCATTTACAATTTAATCTTGAGTGTATCTCAGGTCTTAAATGTTTTGAATGAATTAAATGTGACTGTACTTCACCTGCACCAATTAGTTGTGTGAAAATACTGAGCTGTAATTTTTTCCCTACTAGAATGTAGTAATTTTTTAAGTATTTCACTGAAAATTTCACTTTGAATCTTTAATTAGATACTATGTATATTTGACAGTGAGAACCAGTGCCAGGATTGCCTGTTAACGCTCAAGGTCTAGTTTTGGTATACAGAAGAGTGCAGTTAAAAATGACCCAGTATATAGGCTATAGCAGTGAACCTTTTCAGACCTGGGACTCGCCTTTAACTCCCAGGTACTAAGCTACAAGAAGCACAGGATACTAGAGTGATGTGACAGGAAAAGAAGGAGCCAAAGCTATGGCCTCATTGGTATGAAGACCAGGACTATGGGTAGCTGAACAAGGAAGCTGGGAAGAGGAAACACAGGCTGAGCGCCACTAGGTGTATCACAGTGCTGAACAGACCAAGGCTCAGAGCCATGAAGGAGTTCTCCCTGCTAAGTGATGTTGCCTCATCATCCTGTTGCTGCTATTAGAGTGCATACAAAGAGAACTGAAACATGATGCACTTGAGCTCTAAGCATGCATACTACAAGCAGGTTCTTCAAAAAGGAGCAGAAACATGCAGCTGTATAAGGACTCATGACCCAGCAGGTGAGTCTCTGATCCACCTGAGGGTTGACAACTGGGCTATAGTATGTAACTCCTTCCATGGTTGTTTGAAAACAAACATACCTTTGGATTGTACATATCATAAATTACAACAGCCTTGACACCTCTCTGTAAGAGAAACTGGCACCTTTATCAGTGACTGACTCCTGGACTATAGCATTAAGTACTGTGTTCTTATTTGCAATAATCTAAATCATTAGTCAATATAATATTGCCACTGACTTTGGGCTGGGAGTACTTGCAAGTCCGTGATAGCTTTGGCATAATTTCCCAAGCTTCAGGTGAATTTCTAACATCTTTTTGTAAAAAATTAAAAATGGGTTACCTCTGATGTTCACATAGCTTTGCACAAGTCGGAGCTGTCCATTCTCTTTAGTGTTATGGAATGCTCCACGTGCACACTGGAACTGTGTTGAGCTTTGGATTTATGTATATAGGATTGGTAAATCTTAAAAACAAAAACCTGACATCTATTCCTGGCTAAAGGTGAAACTTAAATTTTGAATTCTTCCACATTGTACTGCATGTTTCCAGGAATTCTGTTTTTATGTCTGTGTGCAGATATCCTTATTGTATTTTTGCCGTTTTGTCACTGTAAAACAAATGTTGGACTTTTATATTTTTCTGAATTCACAGCAATACTTGAAGTTGTCTTCACTTACATCTGAATTGTATCTGAAATACAGCTTTATCATAATAAATTATTGTCATAATGTATCTCAGGAAGAGGTCGCTTTTGTAAAAAGCATACAACTGTATGGTGGAATTCAAACTGGTCATCTTAATAAAATGTGTCAAGTGCACCACGGTCGCCTTCAAATAAGTAAATCATGTACAACCAGTTTGATCTTAGCCATGATTTCACAGTAGCAAAATGCTTTGATTGAAGCATACCAGTTAACACAGCAGAGCCAATATTTTTTTAAAAAAGTTATAGCAGTATTCAGAGTTGCAGACCTGTATATTAGTGTAAATTTTTATAACTAGCTTTTAACTTTTTCCCTGTCACTTTAATCACCCACATTCAGAAGCAGAGCAAAGGTAACTCAGCAAGAAAGCAAATGGTCCTAAGAGGTAACAAGGCTCTGGATTTATTATATAACACTAATGTTGCTTAGGACAGAGCTTGAGCAGATGATGGCGTGAAACCAACATATACCATTGGAGTGTTCAGTAAATTTACCGTATTTTTCGATCCATAAGACGCACCTAGTTTTTAGAGGAGGAAAACAGGAAAAAAAATATTCTGAACCAAATAGTGTAATGAACGGTGAGCCGAAGGCGGATAAACACGGGGGGTGTTCACATGAGCAGCCTCCCCTTCCTCCTTCTCCAGACCCGGAGTGGCAGCGCGAGGCGAGGGGCAGCAGGGAGGGAGAGGGGCAAACACCAGAGGAGGAGAAAGGGGGGGGACGACTCAACTGTGAGAACCGACACGAGCGCGCGAGGGCGAGAAGGGGTTGGAAAGGGGCGAGCGAGGAGCCAGCGCGCGCCCATGCGTCTCTGCGCCTGTGTGGCAGCTTGGGTCTGTGGAAGTCTGGAAGCTGCGCGCGTGCAAAAGAAACGGGGGGAGAAAGGGGGGACGCCTGGCGACTCTGCTTCTTGCGCCACGCGAGTGTTTTGTCGCCCTCTGTCCCCCGGTGCAGCTTGGGTCTGTGGAAGTCTGGAAGCTGCGCGTGTGTGAGAAAGAGACACGGGGGGAGAGATGTGGGGGGGGACGCCAGGCGTCTCTGCTTCTTGCGCCGCGCGAGTGCTTTGTCGCCCTCCTTCCCCCGGTGCAGCCGCAGCAGCAGAAGGTCTTTCCAACTAGTCAGCTGAACTGCGCAGCATCTGCAGCCGAGAGGAGTCTTTGCTCCATAAGACGCACACACTTCCCCCACACACTTTGGGGGGGGGGAGTGCGTCTTATGGAGTGAAAAATACGGTACCTTTTAAAAAAAATTAACCCAAACAGCAGGAAATTTTAAAATGTAACAACAATTGTGGTCAGACGACTACAGGTAAGCATCTATAAAAGATTTCTAAGTATCTGAAAATATGTCCTTGCACTACTGTTGACTATATGCCATACATTCAAATATTGATAAGGTTATAAGGTCCTCAGTACATTGGACTACTGGAGGTGGGCATTTATCTTTTTAGTGTTGTAAAACAAGTATTCTAACAACAGTAATGGCACAGAGGGTCCATTATTGCAGAGCATTAGACAGGCAAATAGTTTAAAAGTGCATAAGCATCCTCAAAGACTGATTAATATTCTAATACAAAATTGATATAAATAATTCTTCCCACCAAGACTGAATGACTGGACAGACCCAAAGTGTACATTCGAGATGCATCTTGTAAGTTACAGTGCCAGCAATTAGATACTTTACTTAGTCCTTTACTGAAAAGGTGCTGTGGTGTCCAGTATATCCTCAACATAATTTTTCACTGATACAACAGGTATAAAATTTAGGGCCATATCCCATTGCTTTGATCTAGCTCCTGATTCCATTCATTTCTGAGATTTTGCATATCATATTTACAGAGTGATATCACATATTTATAAACTAATATTGTAGGTTTTATTTTCTGCATTGATTTCATGAGCATTTCCAAGAGTAAGGGAGATTCTGGATCTGAATCTTGAAAGTTTACACCCTGAAACTCTTGTTGGTCTCTAAGGTGCTACTGGACTTGAATCTAACTAGATAATCAAGTACCGCGTAACAAAGCCTTACTTTATATCTGCAGCAGAATAGAACAAATAAAAAATAGCAGTTAAAAAACCTCAGGTTACCCAGCCTTATATTGTAAAAGCTGGTTGGAAGAGACAAGTCTCTGAAGACAGCCAAATGAAGGGAGCAATTGGTCAGCATGTCGAATCCACAGTATATGACACCAGGACGGCTACAGAGAAGCTACTGCTTCTCCTGACAGGGACTAACCTTGCTTTGAACCTGCAGCAGGTCTTGTCAGCACAACTCAAGTGAGAATTCACAAGGCAAACTTACTAGATATTCTAGACAGAACATGTCAACCGTAATTGAATGGTAATATGTACAACTGCAACATCTGTTGGTATCAAAATCTGGCCCTGCAGCATTGTTTTAGAATCTCCCTTACTCTTGGAAATGCTCATGAAATCAATGCAGAAAATAAAACGTACAATATTAGTTTATAAATATGTGATATCACTCTGTAAATCTGCAGGTTCAAAGCAAGGTTAGCCCCTGTTAGGAGAAGCCTCTGTTTGAAAACCTCCAAAGAAGGAGAGCCCACCATCTCCCAAGGAAGCCTGTACCACTGAGGAACTGCTGTAACTGTCAGGAAATCCTTCCTAACGTTTAGCCAAAAACTGATTTAATTTCAACACGTTGGTTCTGGTCCTACTTTCTGGGGCAACAGAAAACAACTCCATACCATCCTCTTTATGACAGCCCTTCAAGTACTTGAAGATGGTTATCATATCAGCTCTCAGTCGTCTCTTCTGCAGGCTAAACATACCCAACTCCTTCAACCTTTCCACATAGGACTTGGTCTCCAGACCCCTCACCATCTTAGTTGTCCTCCTCTGGACACGTTCCAGTTTGTCTATATCCTTAAATTGTGGTGCCCAAAGCTGAACATAATACTTTGGGTGAGGTCTGACCAGAGCAGAGTAAAGCAATACCATCAGTTCACGTGATCTGAACACTATACTTCTGTTGATGCACCCCAAAATTGCATTTATCTTTTTAGCTACCGCATCGCATGGCTGACTCATGTTCAGTGTATGGTGTACTAAGACCTAAATGCAGAACTTTACATTGATCCCAGTTGAAATTCATTTTATTTGTTTTAGCCAAGTTTTGCAACCTGTCAAGATCATCCTGTATCCTGACTCTGTATTCTACCGTATTTGCTACCCCTCCCAATTTAGTATCATCTGCAAATTTAATAAGCATTCCCTCTATTCCTTCATCCAAATCATTTATCAAGATATTGAACAAAACAGGTCCC